TCAACGGCATCATGTGAGAATAGTTTGGACTTGAAACAAGAGGTGGCGGTGACAATTCTAAAGCATCTGCTTTTGCGTGGGCGCCACTGGACGGGCGCCACACTCCTTGCGACACAATTCTTGATTTCGTAGCGGTCGTTAAACATGTCAGCCACTTCATGTCTTTGCTGGTTGTTCGGTGGTGGTGCGGGAATCCCTTGCCGGATGGTCATTTTTACGTGTCACATTGTTCTGTCAAACACATCAAAAACTGAAACAAGAACCGACACCAACAGCTCCAAGACGTGAATTTTGGTGTGTACAAGAGAGAGTCGGGGTGCATCAGTCAGAAGGAACGGTCATGCATATTTGCGACATCAACCATAAATGACGCTGACATATGGTAACAATTCAAACTTTGTGTTTTGGCGTTGGCGTTTTTCTCCGAACCAGTGCGCCAAGGCAACAAGGTAAGAAAAATGTTTATATATTTTGGATGGCTGTAGAATACGTTGATCGTTTCAAAAATGTTGAAATGGTAGGCCATGGTAAGTGAGTTTGACATTTTTACAGCCGCCCCTCGCCTACAAACCAGTATGTTGATAGCGTGAAGACAGTTGACTTTCACACCTTTACAAAACAACACGCTGATAGTTTAAAGGGTGTTATTTTGATTTAGATTTAATTTTGTAGCTCATCCCCCCTACAACACAATACGCGGATAGTCTCGAACATGTTGAAATGATAAGTTGTGTTGTTTTTTTTTACAGCCTCGCCTTTCCTTACAAAACGATGCGTTGACACTGTCAAGAGGGTTAGTTGGCATGGTTAAATGTTATTACACCCCCTCTTGCAAAACCGTACCTTCATGCTAGAAAAAAAAATGACATGGTATGTTAATGTGTTCTATGTGATGTATATTTTTTTTACGGCCACCTTTCCTCCATAAAACGTATGGTTGAAACCCTGAAGAAGGTTGACATGGTAAGTTATGCCAAGTAAGGTTAAAATTTTTCCCCCGCCCCTTGTCCCCTACCAAACATGTCTTTGACAACGCGAAGACAGTTGACATGGTAAGTTGAAGTTGATTGAATTTTTGCCCAGCCCACCCATACGAAACAATACTTTAACAATATTAAAAAATGGTGTGGTTAGTGAAGTCAAATGAAAATAATTTTTGTACGGCCGCCCGCCTTACCGACAAAACAATACGTTGATCGTCTAACGATGTTGAGGTGGTATGTTAGGATTTAAGGTGGCAACACTGCTTTCAATTGCGAAGCGATGGAAGGGGCTGGAAGTGTATAAAGTGGTTTAACCAACATCGATTGTTTTTTTTTCCGGGGGTGTAACGAGGACAGGCCACTTTATAGAGCATTGCAGGCAGTAACGGGGCATGAATTTTCACCGGCCCGCATAGCACCGCATAGCACCGCATAGCGTCGCATAGCACCGCATAGCACCGCATAGCACCGCATAGCGTCGCATAGCACCGCATAGCCCCGCATAGCACCGCATAGCGCCGCATAGCCCCGCATAGCACCGCATAGCACCGCATAGCGCCGCATAGCGCCGCATAGCGCCGCATAGCGCCGCATAGCACCGCATAGCACCACGTAGCACCGCATAGCACCGCATAGCACCGCATAGCCCTTGGCGTTGTTTAGCGGTTGCTTGGTTGCTCTTGGGTTGTTTTTCAGTGACTTAAGTTCCAATGACTGAGTGTGTTACATCTTCGAAAAGAAGTGTCAAAATACGAAGTTGCATGAACATTGTCCCACAACAATTTGAAGCATGAAATTTTATATTTTTAATTTGGGAACTTTAGAGTGAAAGAAACATAATGACCAGCCTCAAAACAACCACATCCAAGGAGGTGGGTAGCTTAACTTACTGGATTACAGGAAGGAACAAGATAGCAACAAGGAACAACAGCCATAGCCAAGGAGGTGGGTAGCTTAACTTACTGATTACAGAAAGTGACAAGATAGCAACAGGGGACAGCAACCACAACCAAGGAGGTGGGTAGCTTAACTTGCTGGATTACAGAAAGAGACAAGATAAGCAACAGGGGACAACAACCACAACCAAGGAGGTGGGTAGCTTAACTTACTGGATTACAGAAAAAGGAACAAGATAGCAACAGGGGACACCCAAAGAGCTAGCAAGCAACCACTAAACACTATGGACGAAATCAGGAATCAGAGGACTGAACATGATAAGGACTGTCCTGCGATGTATAGCCGTTACTCTCAACGTGGTGGTTGTAAGGGTAGTAGGAAAACCCCAGTCGGCTTACTCGGCCCTGGACCAGGCCAGGCCCGAGGAGTGATGCTGGGAACTCACTTAGTGGCCTGGCATAAGTTACAACCAATCACGCCTGCAACTTTTGATATGCTTCTTCCTCGGCCCCAGCCCAGGCCAGGACCGAAGAAGGATACTAGGACCCCTCCAAATCCTTTAAAACAAAAACGTTGCCCACGCAGACATTTTTCCAGCCCAGGCCAGACCCGAGTAAGGCTCGCGACGTTTAGCCGTCGCGCGCCCCCAGTCCCTTAAACATTTTTTTTTCAAACAGGTCATCGGTAAGCTTTGCAGCTGCCTCACCATTGGTCACCAGAAAAAGAAGTTTCAAAATACGAAGTTGCATGAACATTGTCCCACGACAATTTGAAGCATGAAATTTTAAATTTTTAATTTGGGAACTTTAGAGCGAAAGAAACATAATGACCAGCCTCAAAACAACCACATCCAAGGAGGTGGGTAGCTTAACTTACTGGATTACAGGAAGGAACAAGATAGCAACAGGGAACAACAGCCATAGCCAAGGAGGTGGGTAGCTTAACTTACTGGATTACAGAAAGTGTCAAGATAGCAACAGGGGACACCCAAAGAGCTACCAAGCAACCACTAAACAACACCAAGACAGCCCCGCATAGCATCGCATAGCGCCGCATAGCGCCGCATAGCGCCGCATAGCACCGCATAGCACCGCATAGCACCGCATAGCCCCGCATAGGACCGCATAGCGCCGCATAGCAGCGCATAGCACCGCAAGGCGCAATACGAAGATACATGGCGGTACGCAGCGCTACGCAGCGCTACGCAGCGCTACGCAGCGCTACGCAGCCCACACGCAAACTACGCAGTGCTACGCAGAGCTATACGCAGCGCTACGCAGCGCTATGCAGCCCACATGCAAGCTACGCAGTGCTACGCAGGGCGACGCAGCACTAATGCAGCCCTACGCAGCACTGCGCTGCGCTACGCAGCCCCACGCAGCGCTACGCAGCGCTACGCAGCCCTACGCAGCACTACGCAGCCCACACGCAGCGCTAGGCAGCGCTACGCAGCACTACGGAGCCCACACGCAGCGCTACGCAGCGCTACGCAGCGCTACGCAGGCCTCAAAAATTTCGACCCCCCTTTTGTCAACCCTGTTATAGAGGCATTCTATGTTCGGGAGTGGGTATAAAGTAGTCATACCAACATTGATTTAGGTTTCTTCAAGGGTGTACCCCCGGACAAACTACTTTATAGAAGCGTTCTCTGCTCAGGAAGGGGTTAAAGTGGTCCAACCAACATGTTTTTTTTTTTCAGGGGTGCAATGGGGACAGGCCGCTTTATAGAGGCATTCTCTGGCCGGGAGCGGGTCCAACCAACATCGACCGGGGCCTTTTCAGGAGTACAACCCGGACAGGCCACTTTATAAAGGCATTCTCTAAACCAAGATCGAGTGGGATTTTTTAAAGGGGTGTAACCCCGACAGGCAACTTTATAGAGAGGGTTCCGGGGCTCGGCCTCTGCACACGTCCTGGTGTACCTGGAGGCAGTAGATACCAATTTCCATGTGATTTCGTGTTAGCATTATATTGTTGGTACCAGTCTGCGCTTTCATTTTGGAAGCACAAAAACGGAGATGAAAAACGAGGTGTATATTATCAAATTTCAAGAGTAATGCTCTGTGGGAGGGTACGGTACGCAGGGTATAGGGGTACGCACATGTGGTACGCAAAAACGGTACGTATGGTACGCCTGGATGGTGCGGGGGGGTGCGCCTGTATGGTACGGGTGGTACGTATAAATGGTACGCATGGTACGCCTGGATGGTGCGGGGGGGTGCGCATAGATGGTACGGGTGGTACGTATGAATGGTACGCATGGTACGCCTGGATGGTGCGGGGGGGTGCGCCTGTATGGTACGGGTGGTACGTATAAATGGTACGCATGGTACGCTCGAATGGTACGCATGGTACGCTGGGAAGGTACGCATGGGTACGGTACGCCAATTTTGTGCGGGGAAGGGGGCCGGGGGTGGTACACATGGTATGCATTTATGGCGGGGGGGTGTGGCACGCGCGTAGATGGTACATGCAGTAGTATGGACGTAAGCAATGTGAAGGTGAATGAAGAACATTACGGTCCACGGTAAGTAATACAGTAAAATAGAAGTTACAAATCTGTAATATAATATACTGGTTTGAGATGACATGTTACTTGACAAAAAGTACCAGCTTTGAAAATGATTATGATTATGCTGATGATTTAACTTTCTCAAGTGAAAAACGAATTTACAAACATAGTATGATTGGCAACGACGTGGGATGAGATGAAACTACGACATCGGTATCGACATCATATCGTTGTCAATCATAAATCATAGATCATAGGGTCATGGTCTGAAAATCAGATAATCTTATTTGTGCATGGTTTCTCCCTGTGAATTCATTGAAGGTTTTTACACGTATTGGCTGGGGCCTTCAGTCGTCACGTGTTTGGCAACTCGCTGACCAAAATGAAACTTCAAAAAAATCAAAACCATGGTCCATGGTCCATGGTTCATTATCAAATTACCGATACAAACGCCGATTCGAAATTCAACCTGATTCGGCGCGCCTCAAACACCAAGTCTTTGAAAAAATCGGTCGCTTGGCGCATGTTGGAAAGTGATCACAAAAAAGCACGTGCACACAGACACACACACACACACCACAGTACCCTGTCGACCTCTCACAATCCAGTTTTTCCCTCTCATGTGAGCGCTTGGCTTTATCCAGTGCCACTGGCCAATTCAACCCTCTGTACAGGTGTCCATGAAGCGGCTAGTCAGAAAAACAATTTACAGTCAGGTCTGACCAATCCCTTTACGCCATGTCTGGAACGCACTGCTGATGGCGTCCAGTTCTTCCTCTTCAGACTCTGTGTCCACACGGCAAAATGCCAAGGTGGTTAACAATGTTGTCATTGCACAAGTCATCGTGAACCTCAATTCAAACTGTCAAGCCAAGAGCTGTCAAGCTACACACATCTACACACACACACATGCGCAAGATCTGAATAATCACACAGAAGTCAGCACTTGCACATGCAAAGAACAGTACTGAAACTGAAACTACTACGGCTACGACTAATACAACTACTACTACGTTACGACTCTAGTACTTCACAGTAGTTCTACTGCTTCTGTTGCTGCTTTACTGCTACTGCTACTCCTCCTCCTGCTACTACTGCTATTATCACTACTACGACTACGACGACGATAATGTTTTGCCTGGACTGAAACACCATGTAAAGGATATGGGGCAGTCGCTGTCAGAGTCACCAAAATACTAGAATCGGATCGAATCAAACCAAATCCAAGAAACGCATTGCCTGCGATGTCATACAGCTGCGAATCTGTATGGGTAACCTCTCCAGCATTGGGCAAATCAGTCAGCATCAGCCCCTGGAAGGCAAGTGCTTCAGCGCCTAAGCCAAAATTTCAAACAACAAGCAAATCCATCCACGTGTCAATGTTCGACATGTTATGACATTCCACAAAACCAGACCAAGGGATGTGAATACAGTGAGTCGTCACAATGAAGAAAAAGTGGTTGCAGTTGCAAAGTGTAAGTTGCAAGTAAGCATCAGTAAAAATTAATATCATTTTACAAGCCTTGACGTGCTGATTGAATGATGGGTCATCACATACACTGATAATCCTGGCTCAGCGATTTGAAACTGAAAAACTGTGGGAGTTGGTGTCGGTTGATGTCTGTCTGTTTAAGTTTTGACGTTACCAAGAAGCCAGTCAGCAACCTCCGGTGCTTGATTGACCAAATCTTCCCACTCGGCAATATGGTCGGAACGACCTCGCACGCGTCACCGATCATGCCGGTTTTGCAAACAAAGTTTCGCGCTATGTTTGTCTATTTTGATCAGTGTATTTACTGGACGAACATGTCCACAGTAGCCGCAAATAAACATACTATTGTGCTAGGCTTTGGCAAGAGAATTATTCGTATTCGTGCACAACAAATGAAGCAAGTCTTCTTGTTTTCAATACTGTAAACGTAAATTATCTTAAAGAAATTATAGATCATATTGCAGAAGATAAACTCACATACTTTTGGGGTAATGACTGTAATGCTATTATCATCAAACCGTTGCATAATTACTATTTAGAATGTAAAACGATAAACAGATAATAGAGAGGGATATAATATATATATAATATAGTGTATATATATATTATATATATAGTTATTTATCAATAATATTGAACTAAATTGGATTCTTAATTTGATAAGCATACATGTATACGGAACAAAATGATGCATTCGCATATTATGATTATATATTAGGTAACTATATAAATTATAGCAGCAATTTTGCTGTATCCTCCTCCTCCGCCTCCTCCTCCGCTGGACCTCAACTGCAAGCTCTAGATCGCGGTATTCCCCGCCAGAGGCCAGAAAGAATAATGAATGAATGTCAATGTCAGATGATAAAATGAATAGAATGACACACAGAATGTCAGAATAGATGCCAGATAGAATGCCAGAAAGAATGTTAGAGAGAATGTTAGAGAGAATGTCAGAACGAATGCCAGAATGAATGCTTGAAAAGATGCGAGGTAGGGTAGAGAGAATGTCAGAATAGAAGCCAATTTTCCATAGAAGGTCGGATAGAATATCACAGCACAGGCACAGGCTAGAAATAATGTCAGAAAGTCAGAATAGAAAATGCTATCCAGCCAGCCTAATAATCATATGATTTGTGATTATATACTTCCAGAATGAAGGTCAGAAACCTCAGTCCCAACTTGGCCTTGGAAGCAAACGTGGAGGTAGGAATTCTTGTCACGCTCTGGGAAATATCGGCTAACCCGATTTGGCCGCTTGAGTCGGCTCTCGAGTTCATCAGATAGACAAAGCACGGAATCTGGCAGGGAGGTGCAAATGCGCAAACTCAATGACAAGCTATCAAATGCCTCCAGCCTAGTGACCGGTAGATTGACTACCTGACTACCTTGGTGAAAAATCGCGGTGAAAAACAAATCGAAATCGAAATCGTCTAAATCATGGTATAGAAAAGCTGGTAAGAGGTAGGCCGAGCCAATCAAATAACCCAACCTCTTTCTCACGCTCTGGCAGAATTCCAAACCATTCAGAATTCTCCAACTCCTGTGGGATGTCCAATGGCCATTTCACGCCGTACTGCTCAGCCAAAGAAGTGTGCTGGTCCTTCCAAGAGGCTTTCTCTGATCCCTTTGCTCCTGCCTTTGCCTTGGCACGTCGTTCAAGCTCTGCGCGAACTGTGGGGTGGTCATTGGGCAGAAGCAACACCTCGGGCATCATCATCCATTGATGAGTAGCCACTGGGCCAATTCGGGATGGATGGTGGCACGGTGGTGGGTGAACGTGGGTATGCATATTAGGAAACAGGACAGCTCTGTCAAGTTCTGACAGTCTTGCTGCTTGCAACTTGCAACTTTCAAGTTCAACTTGATTAAGGTTTGCACGTCAGGTGAAGGGTGCACAGGCACCTTCATCTTCGGAATTGTCTCTTGAATCTTCCGGACAATTTCACTGGGTCGGTCCGAAAACACATCACGCACTGCGACAATGTAGTAGCGACATCGTCGCTGTGGCAAACCATAGTGACTCGATGTCAGCTTCGTCGCAGAAGCTTCATATCCCAATTCCCGCAACTGGTCCAGAACAGCATCAAGATTTGATCGGTAGCTCCTGAGGCACAACAAGTGCAGTGCAGCATTTGCCTAACAATAGATGTATTGTACTGATAATGATGATAAAGTTTGTGTCATGTGACATGTGTCTGTAAGGACTGTATGGGCATACCCGCATTACTTATATGCTTCTGATTCTGGTATTCGTTATTTTGCTTGATTGAGCACGATACGATGACAGCATTGGAAGAATTCACTGGCTAACTGTCTTCCTGTATCGTCTAGTGGTTCTAAAAACACATGTGTGCAATTAAAAAAAAGGTGGGTATCTGTCGAGCCGCTCACTTTCATCGGTGGCTCCAGTTTCAATCGTGTCCACATTCTCCAAGAAGACAATGTGAGGTTTGGATTTCTCCAGCGACACACCCACCCCCCGAAATGTTGATGTTGAGCTGCAATCCTAAGCTAGTAAACAGCTGGCCCAACTGAACATATTCAGATAAGAACGGTTGCCTTCGAGTTGCCTTCCCCTCTGAGATGGCAGTTTTCAGGGAGCTGAAGTCTGGATTTGCCCGAGAACAGGACCTCAGCCCAGCAAACGGGCAACGCAGCCACGAACACAAAACTCGAGCATCCTACGGCATAGGCGACGAGGTTTCGATGCTCAAGGTTTTTCATATTATTTACACACCTACCTACCTACCTACCTACCTACCTACCTACCTACCTACTTACCTTCCTACATGCATAGATAAGCCTGCCTTGTCGTCACGTCTTTTCCCTGTAGTTCCAAAATAGCAGGGCTCAATGACTGATTTGCCATCGCAGACCTCTGCTGTGACCAAGAAACTTACAGCTGAATCCAGCTGTGTAGATGGAAAGCTCACTGTCGCCATCGCAATCCTTCTTGTTGATGTCCACTGGGCTTGGCAGAGCCTCAGTCCGCAACAAACTTACCACAAGAACAACCCATCAGCCCATCATGCGTACTAGCGTTGAACAAAGGTATTTCTGTTTGTTTACTGCCAAACAAAAAGAGTCATGTTTTTTTACAATAGTATGACTGACTATGACTATCACTATAGTATAGCCAGTATAGCACAATACCTTTGCCCACATCTACAACCTACACTGCCACCGAAAAAGCTTGTGACATGTGAAAGACTGGGTAAGATTCACCGTGGATCACTGGCAGTGATCTGAATTCGTTCAGCTAAAGGCTAAGGTCGGAACACACGAGGTCTTGTGTGTTACACACAGGCGCTCTCTGTCACTGTCCAGCTTTGTAATGTCTTCAAAAAGACACACTGCTTCCGGGTCCTAACAAAATCATCTTGCACTTGCAACTTTGACTGCGATTCTGATTACAAAGCAGGAATGCAGCAGAGATTTAAAAAAACACATTGAATTGCACTGCGCACTTATTGCCTCCAAGTTCTGAGGGTTGAGTGGCTTGGACAAGCAATGCCTGTATGCTGTATGCCTGTCTCTGTGTGCGTGTGTGAGTCACTGTGTGTCCTCCTCCACTGCTGGGAAAATGTGCTCACGCAAGAACTTCTGCTTGTTCTGAATGATCTCGCATGCATACTTTGTTTCAACCTAACTGCGAAAAACTGCAAGCAAACAGTTGATCAGTGGATGTAAAAAGAAATAAGGCATCTAGAATCTAGGCATCAATTTTTAGGCGCAGAAAAAGACACGTTTAATTCCAAGACCGGAAGATGAAAGCAATTGGAAGTCATGTGTTTGTCCATGTCACTGTCTATGACTCTATGACAATGACTATGACTCGCTCTGATAATCATGACTCCTGACAAAACACCTTGAAAGGCGGATCGCCATCCAATAACCCGCAATTCAGCTCGTCCTTTACTGCAGTGGTCGCCAACTCAAAGATTCCACTGCCGCTGCAGGCTGTCATCACACTGATTCTCCGGGGTAAACTTGCCACTGACACATCCATGTGATCACCACCAAGAACATCCCGCAATCGCTGTAGTTGGGCCTGAGGTTGGGTTCACACAATGTTTTTTAATCTCATGTGCAACTACACAACCGCAACAGAGTCATAGAGTATCAGCAGGAGTCATAGTCATAGAGTCATATCATATCATCATCCTTATCATCATTGTCATCATCATCATCATCATGATCATCACCTTCGTCATCATTATCATCATCATCACCACCATCATCATCAACATCAACATCAACATCTACATCAACAAAGTAATTCATAAGTTCATAATATTCATCATCTTCATCCTTATCATCTTCATCCTCATCATCATCCAGAACACCTAAGCCGCACCTGAAGTCTGATCCTTTCATGTGTCCATGACGCAGAAACAGAAAATTCTAGCACCCATGTACCTGTGTGTGTGTGTGTGTGTCCAGCGGTCAGTATTCTCAGCCCCATGCCACCAACAGTTGAATCATATCGGGACATGTCTGATGACCCATGGCAACCAGTGCAGCTTGGAAACGCGAGCGAATGATCTCATGAAGAACCAGGGTTCGCCTTCACGTGGACTGGCAGGGGCAGCAGGCTGGCTTGTGGAGTCACTGGGAACATCAGGGACGGCACGGCTGGCATCAGCTGGTTCTTGTGGCTCACTTGGTTGATCATCAACAACTCGATCTGCCAACCACTGTATCAGATTGACGAGTTCGTCCATCTCAGTCTCACCTGCCGAAGCAAAATCCGAAGGTGAGAACTCATCATCCCCCATCATATCTTTCAGGAATTCCACCAATCGTGGATGGAGCTTTGCTTGAGATAGCAAAACGCTCGATTCAGAAGCATCAAACTTCTCCATGATAGTGTCAATCACGTGCGGTAATTGGGCCTGTGATGATGCTGTCTGACTAACAACCACCACCACATTGTCAAGGGATACCTTGGCACCCCTCAGAAGCGTCACATTGCCAGCAGAGGCAACAGCTTCCCCAGCATCACACTCAGGTTGCTCTTTCGGCTTGACAGTATCAGGTGACGGTTCAGGAACAGGAGTGCTCAGGGTTGCTGCCACGATGGCATCTTCAGTAGGTGCAACAGAAGGTAATTGAAGCACTCGGCTGAGTTCTTCCATCAGGCCTTGCTCTTCGTCCGATCCTTTGCAACAGAATAGATGGATGCAGCACACAGTCAAGAATCACTGGGCAATGGAAACGTACAAACAGACGGAATGGACATGCTGAAACTGTCAGTCTTCCAGACTTCCAAAAGCTGTGAAGGCTTGCAAAACAAAGTCCCACAGAAAGGGTTGGCAAACATGTCCATGTCAGTCATTGTCCATCCGACACAGCCCCTGGCAGGGCCAATAGTTATCAAGATAACAAACAAAAAAAGAAGAAATGCCATCATCATCCCAGTGACTACGGAACTTACCTAATATGAAAATAGTATAATATAAAGTAATAAAATAAAATAGAAAAGAATATATAATATATAATAAAATATAAAATATGATAAAATATAGTCGTCTAGTTGGGTAAAAGATATCAAAGTTGAATAGTTGAGAAGCTGACAAACTAAAAATGAACAAACGAAGCTGTTGGAGTTGGGTAGAATTTGTTCGCATTAGCATTAGTTAGAAGTTGTCCGTGGACATATGATTATTGTTGGGGGTTGGGTGGGAGGTTTGAGAAAGAAGCGAGAGTTCTGCAAGCTGAAAGAATTTGTTCTGTTGCGGTTCAACAAACCCATACCAGCCCATAACTCTCTTGAGCCTTGACAGCGTGAGCCTGTGCTCTGTAGCTCATGCCATATGCCCTGGAAAGGTTCCCAGCAAACAAATACGGGGGGGGTACTACACCAGCCACTAATCAAACAAGCCTTAAAGCCATTAAAGCACAGCAAAGCGAGTTCATATGATATTGATAAGAAACAATTGAAGAAGAATAGCTTTTGAAATTAACTAGACTGACTAATCATCCAACTGCCCTGAGGCCTTGAGTCATAAGTCGCACTATCAAACGTCCAATGGTAATGGCACTGTCTGCAAACAAACCTAGTGCCACGAAGGATCCAAGCACAGTGTCTCCCACAGTTGTGGCCTTGTCGTCCTTATGCATGTCTCTCTTCTCTGGGTCACTGTCAGTGTTCTCGGTCTTGGTCTCGGGAAGCACGACTGCAGTGTTGGTGCTTGGAGTGGCTTTTGCAGCACCACTACTAGCATCCGACTTGAATGGAGTCCAGAATCTCTTGTTCTTTTCCATCTCCTCTGGTGTCGGCACCGGCAATGCATCCTTTGCCGTCTTTTTCTTTTTGTTACTCTCGTCAAGATGCACATTCTCTGGTTCTGCGCCTTTCTCCTGTTTGGACTGTGCTTTCGCCTTCACAGCGGTCTTGGCAATCTCTGGCTGAGGCTCTTTTCTCGCACGTTTCGCCTTGGGCGTATTAACACTGGGTGCTTCCGCTGCCGCTACTTTCTTTCGCGGCGGCATTCCCAATTGCTCTCGGATGGTCGGAATCACAGTTTGTGGATCCCAAAAAAAGAGAAATAGCCAGCACTTCCGTACAAACAAGTGGGACACATTGTCACTTTGCGATTTAAGTTAGTAGTTGTTGAAGATCTAGTTTTGATTTTGATCAAATCATATCATCATATCAATCATTTCAATCACTGAAGCTCTCGGATTGCAGTTTGGGCCAGCTATTGGTCGCTGAAGGAGGAAAGCAAAACCTAACAATGCAATGTGCAAACCAGATCGGCTGATGACAATCGGATGCGTAGCTGAAACCTTGAGTGCGACAGTGAGGCTGACGCGAGAAACTCAATCAACCAACTGTCTGATTTTTTTGGTCTCATTTCTTCTGATATCCTTCTCTCTCATGTTATTGGGCGGCACAGATTTGCAATGTGTATGTCCCGATGAAGGCACAACAGGACAAGGTCTCTCATTCGAATTACATGCAACAGTGCACTGGCAACGTCTTAGCATTACCAGAAATGGTCTAGTTGAAATTGTTTTCTCATTCTCTGAATTCCCGTGGCTGTGAACAACTGTCTGTGCAAAAGTTTTCCAGTTGTCCAAAAGCCCGTCTAAGCTTCAAAGCAGTGAAATGGAACGTTGATTGGGAATGGAATCGCCAATCGTCTGAACATGAATTAGCCCCCAAACACGGCTAACCTCACATTCACTTCAGCAGCCTGAAAATCAGAAGCCAACCAACGCATAGGCTTGGTTGTTCTCATGATAGTTCAGCAGCCCAAAGGATCAGAACCCACCGCATAGGCACGGTTGATCTCATGCTACTTCAGCAGCCCAAAGGATGACAACCCACCGCATAGGCGCGGTTGCACATCTCAGTGACTTGACTTGTCACTTCTTGGCCTCAGCATCTGGAGACGCTGCCCTAGCAAAACTGGTAGCCAAGGCCTGCAGACCTCCAGGAATATTCAGGTTGTTGTCCTGGCAAACCTTGAGCGATTCAGAGAACTGGTCTTGCACCTGTTTCTGAGGCTTGCTGTCGGACTTCCAAGATCTTGTAACCTTTTTGCTTCCCAGCAAAGCGATCAAATTGGCCACAGACCTTGTCACGGAATTAGAATGCGGGTGAATGGGCTGACACCAACGTCAACGCTAAACTAAACTCTTTTGATTGCTTAGATGCAGTATCTACGACATCTATATCAGTCTACATCAACATCTAGAATCTACATCAGTAACATCAAACAAGTGTCAGTGTCTGTCATTGTTAGCGTATGTCTGTAAAAGTTTTCCGCTCTGTCCACTCTACCGTTTGTTTTTTGAACGCGTTAACATTTGAGAAAGTGTGATGATGATACACGATACATGGTGCTGCATGAAAGATGTGATCAAACAAGTTTGACTAAGTCAGAAACAGCCATGAAAGGAAGCGACATCGCATAGTCTTGCAATCAGCAATCCATGGAGCAATCTCCTCCACCGGCATCCCAATCTCCTTCTGGATAGTTTCAACGGAAGACTCAATGGTTTCAAGGCCGACGGCAATTTCAACCATCAAACTGGATTTGGCGGTAGGAAAGGTTGCCGCCACAATCTTGCGGAACTCAGGCGAAGTCAACTGGACCATGTCAGAGACACCGTTGATCGCGTCTGGCAGCTCGATTTCAAAGTCCCCACGCTTCTGCGCAGCCTTGAAAGCTGTGTCCAAAGAAGCAGCCACACGGACCACACAGTCCTTCGATTTCTTCACCATCCCATCCAAGAGAGTCACAATGTTTGCCTCAACTGAGGAAAGCTCGGAAGGCAAAGTCTCTTTGACAGTCTGGAATAGGAAAGCCAAATCTTTGATGGCAGTCTCTCGTTTCGTTGGGGAGAAGCCCGTGTAGCAAATCTTGATGGCCTCCATTTCCGCTTCATCGACCAACTTGTCCACAGAAGTACGCTCTGACTCAGCAGATGCTGCGGCAAAGTTGTAACTGCACTTTGCTGCGCACTCAAGAACTTTCATTCCATGCCTGATTTTCTTCCCTTCATCTCCCATCACACTTGTGAGACGGCAACACGTCTCCAAATGCTCGGTAAACTTGTCAACGTTCATGGAAGTGTCGTCCTTCTTGCCATCTTTGACAGTTTCCTCATACTTCAAGACCTCTAACATGAAGCGGATGACCTCAATGATCTGCTTGTGCGCTTCTGAATGAACATTTCCTGATAGACAAGATTCCACGATGCTGGAAGTTTGGTTGATCGCATTCTCAAGCTGGTCATGGAACTTCTGGTAAAATGCAGCTTCAGCACCAATGTTGAAAGATTTCGCGGCTTTGGCGGGGTCAAACAAGGCGATCAGGCCATAGCTGTCCTTTTGCCACTGCTGCAAAATGGACTGAGAAGCCACGGCATCCAACTCTGACAGCTGATCCAACTTCTTGAGGGTGTTGCTCAGCCCACCACAAGCGTTCACAAATGCTTCCACCGCAGCAACATACACCGTCTTTCGGATACCGAACACCGGCGAAGACTCGGAGAACATGCTTGGCAATTTCGATGCTGACATCTTGTCATCCTTCAAAGCTGTTTGGATATTTGTCAAGTATGGGAAGACCTCATTCTTGAGCGATGTCTCAATGACAAGTCTGACAGCATAGCAAACCTGATCTGAAAGACGGGAGACCTTCTCCTTGTCAACACCTTTCAACTGCTTGGCACCCTTGCTGGAAACCACTTCATGAGCTTTGACAATCCTCAAATGTGGAGTGGGACAGGGCAGTGGCTGAGGAAAGGAACCGCATTTATCATCAATGTCATTAGTCATTATCATCAATTAATCATTCATGTGTGATGTCTCTGTAGAGTGTCAATGCAGTAGATGCCGATGCGTCAATGAGATTGTTCGAAGCTGGAAGCATATCAAAACCAGTGATGTCTTATCTACTACCACTACCTGACTACTTATGCAGCTTGTGCAGCTTACAGCAACGGCTTACAGTATGTAAGAACTCACTGATCACGGAATGCAAAGAAGGATCTGTTTCCCAAAGTTCTCTGGGCACGGATGGCCAGTCTCGACATTTTCGATGGACGATCGCAATGCAGAACCGGCTTCGTCAATCCATACCAAGAGCTCATCTGCCTCTGAACGACGGTCTGCGTTCTCGGAGGCGGCTTTCAAGACTTTCTTGCCATTGTCCAAAGCAAATGCCTTCGACATCCAATGATTGGATCCTACAACCAGGTCCTTCGCATCATTGATTTTGGATGGTGCGGAAGAAGCATCCAACATGATCTTGATGGCAGCAGCCAGTTCATAGGCCTCTGCATCTGCCTGTCCGGATCGATGTCCGAAAGCTACCATCGCGTCGATGAACTTCTGAAGGTATGAAGTGTTCAACGCTGTAGACTTCCCAGACGTAGTGGTTGTCGCTTTCAGCAATCTCTGAAGCAATTGACTCTGCAAAAGCTCAAAAAAGTTTCCCCCCTCTTGTCCACCGAGTTTCTCGCAAGCAGTGGATGTCTCATTGAAGAAAGTCTCAAAGTTTGCGGTCTTCAAATCCTGCCACTGCAGATGTGTCATGATTGATGGATCAAAACTCAAAGATCATTTGATTTGAGATTGAAAGTGAAATTTCAATCATCGAATTGAATTAAATTTCATCTCTGCTCATCGAAAATTTTGATTTGACTGAACTTATAGTCTAAATTTAATTTAGGCGACCCCTGCCATCAGAACCCGGGATCCCTCTCATCTTGAGAAACCCTGACAACTGACAACACAGACCTGTCCTCAAACGCAATGCCACGGATACAGCGCTTCCAGACTCCAGCTGAGGGTTCGTAGTCCACATCATCCTGAATTCGGGTGCTAAGTTCGTCATAGAGTTCTCGACCTTCGGTGCCACTTCCTGCCAACTTCTTGATGAATCCATGTAGATCAGCGATCTTCTCTGCAATCTCGTCAAGTGACGCTTTGAGATCAGTCGAGTCAGAAGTCCGGCGTTTCAATGATTTCACCTTCCCCCTGAGGCCAGCCCTAAGGTCTGAAAGCTTTGCCAAGCGTGATTTGCTCCATGGCCCAAAGGCCTGATCATCACAGCCGGGTGCATCGAGGTGCTTCAACTTCTTGAACTGGTTGATGTAGCCTTCAATGAGCGTAGCATCTTCTTTCCCTTGGTCAGAAGTTAAATCCAAACGTTCTAAGCCAAAGCAATCACCAGGAGCAGAGTCACAAGTCACAGGGACCTTTCCGCTGGCCCTCACCTTTGGCTTCGGGGAAGCCTTCGCCTTTTTGGCTGGTTGCATGGTTGTTTGGCCTGCAGCTGCAGACCTCTTTTTCCCTTCAGGCCTGGCCATTCGTGAAAACAAACCTTGAAGGAAGGGCTGGTCATCCATCATTGTCTCATCATCACCTTCATCGTCATCTTCCATAGCATCACCGTCAGCTTCACCTTCTTCAGGATCCATGGATGGAAGCGCATGTGATGACGAGGATGCCGACCTACTTTGCACTGCAACTGCTGTGCTTGCATCACATGAAAAGCGCGACTGCTGCAATGATTTCAAAGCAACCCCATGGATGGCGTCATTCTGATCAGCGGACAAGGTCAGATCAGGGTCGTTCATCAAGGTACTTCTAGACACCTTCGCAAGGTTCTTGTCGATGTAGGTGTAGACTCCGTCATCCTTGGTATTGTCGATTGTGAAAAAACTTGCTCATACCATAGGCCCATAAACGAGTGGACTGAGCTGTTGTGTTTAGTTAATAGTCAGTCTGAGAGTCTGGGACTAAGACTGCAGGAGGGAGTAAGACAATGATTGGCTGTATGTACGTGCCGTGTTCATGCGCATGCATGAGTTTGATGAACGATCTATGATGTTGATTGATCCTAGGTTCTTCTGCCTCAATGTAGTCAACTCCTGACAACAATTTTCCGTTGATCATGTGAGATCTCAATTTGCTCGGGTCGGCCTTGCCAAATCGTTTCTCGTATTTGCTGAGCTCCATCCACTTGACTTTGGGGGCCTCCATGCCGGTCACTGTTTCCTCCTGCACAGTGATCTTCTCCACGACGTCATTGTTGCCAACGGTGATCCGGCACTTTGGGTTGGCCTTCTTCTTCTCAAGCAAATTGTCTCGCTGGGCAAGGAATCGGTGATTCTCTTCAGGTTTGGTATCCAGTTCCTTGTCAATGTTCGACATGGTGCGATGTCGATGCATCCACTGACCGATGTCTGCAACCTGTACAGGGGAAGGTGTGCCAAAATGAAGCCCCTTGAATGTCAGCAGTGAATTTAAACTAATGAGCAACTAGTACCTACCAATACCCTACCGCAACCCTCACCATATACTCCCCATACCCACCAAACCACACCCAATGTCCACCCCGTAGCATTTATCCACCCGTACCGTACCCACCGTACCCCCCGTACCCACCGTACCCCCCGTACCGTACCCACCCACCGTACCCACCGTACCGTACCGTACCCACCGTACCCCCCGTACCGTACCCACCGTACCCCCGTACCGTACCACCGTACCCCCCGTACCGTACCCACCGTACCCCCCGTACCGTACCCCCCGTACCCCCCGTACCCCCCGTACCGTACCCCCCGTACCCCCCGTACCGTACCCCCAAAATGTCACGCTATAGCGTGACATACGGACATACGGTACGGGGGGTACGGTGGGGTACGGTACGGGGGGTACGGTGGGTACGGTACGGGGGGTACGGTGGGTACGGTGGGTACGGTGGGTACGGTACGATGGGTACGGTGGGTACGGTACAGTACGGTCGGTGGGCTCAAGGGTGTGGATTGCTAAGGACATAAGCACTGCATAGGCATAGGATGACAGGTGAAGAAAGTGAAACAGTGAAACACTGAAACTTAAAAGAGCCCTGCCCCGCCTTTTTGCACAACAAGCAATGTGAACCCTGAGGATTGAGAATCGATCCTCTCCCCCAGGCAACCACAGGCCCCCACGCATGCTCTGGAGACTCTGCTTGGTTGTATTGGGCGGGACTGCATGTCCAAATCCCGCACCTCCTGCATCGCTTGTGGTGAAAATCAGGAGGATAGCTGACTCCTGGGGGTGGTGTTGGGGCTTCCGCCAAACACCTGGCTGATGCATTGCTCTGCTTCTTGACGTTGACTGTCTTTGGAGTTGGCACGTGCATCTCCATCTTGAAAAGAATTGGCGTTCCACAAGGGTGCAATGTGCAGAGTAACACACGCAAAGACTTGAATTGAACGTTGAAGGTAGTTGGAATGTCACAAGGCTTGAGCCTCACATGTTGAGGTTGGATTGATTTGTTGTAAGTCATCATGTCAAGTTGTGATCTGATCAGCACTCTGTGCATAGAGTGGCTGTGTCTGTGTCAATGTCTCTAGCTTTCTATCCAGGGAAGCAGCAGGGCCAAATTTGTATGAGTCATGTGAGTCATCAAGCGTAAGCGCAAGTTCACTTTATTCATTCCCCCACATTGTCATAATCTTTCTGCACATGCGATGTGCATAGTGGCTTTCAAGGCCATCGGAAAGAAATCCCACATTGACATCATGCAAATTTGCATGGGTGATTGCACGGAACGTAAAAGCATAGCTTGACATAATTGGAAATTGTGACACAAAGGGTGAGACTTTGCACTTGACTTCTCAAATGTCAGCCTGTGAGTGGTCCAGCATCGATAGTCATCCAGCAAATCTGTCGCCAGTCAGTATCGAACAAACGTCCCCAACCTGAAGGCAGCAAAATGGAAAGTGCAAACAGCAATGCATCTGTCATCACTCAATATATGAAAATGATACTCAGGCTGTAGACTCTTGTAAAAAGATGAGTTCGTATGTTCTGATATTCTGACATTCTTTTTTTTCTAGTCAATCTATGCAGTCAATGCCGTCCATCATTCTCGAATCACATCAAAGAAGAACGTGAAATTTTCTCTTTCTCAATGACACGAATGGCTGAATCACACAGCTTATGTATGCTTATGTCATTATGTCATTATGTCATGCAAGCAGCTCAGCCAGATGTTTAGATGCATCCTCCTTATTGGGAAAATTCTTTCCTGCCGACAGCCACTGTAGAAGGGACGGTTCTTGGTCATGCCCCAGCCGCTTCGCGCTCATGATCTTGACGCATTTGGCATGTAAACCTGAAATTCAAGCTGAAAATTCTTGGATTTGGAGGCGAAAGAAGAGAACAAAATATTGCCATCTACAGACTACAGACGTATTTGTTCCTCTGTTCCTCTACATTCTATCTACAAGATTCTTGGTACAGACTGAAGACATGGGCAAAAAACACACCGAGAGATATATAAAAAGAATCGACTTGCAAAAATGCAAAACTGATTGAGGCTGGGACCACACCTGACCGAAATGCTGTGATCCTTTTCCCCTGGCCGAACTTCAGTTATACGGCCTCACGCGGTATTGTCAGGCCGGTGATAGACAGAAGTGTGGTATGGTAGATGCTGCTAGATCAAACCTGAATCCAAATCCAACTCATGTCATGTTATCATCATATCATATCAAATCAAATCAAATCATTTCATTTCATTTTCATATCAAATCATGTCATTTTAAATCAAATCACAATATCGATAAAGTCTTTTATAGTCACAGTCACAGTATGTCGCAGTCATGATTTTGAGTCCACTTGTGGATGTGTCGGTTGCTTGTGTCCGAATCATCTCAGGCATGGGCCCAAATGACGTGCTTTGCCAGAATCCGCATTGAACTCCCAGCAATATCCTCGCACATCCCTCCAAGGCATCGTATAAGACATAATCGGAATTGGTGGTGGGCCAGATTGCTTCTGCACCCCTGGCAGGCTGGAGGAGGAGGCCTCTTTTTTGGATGGGTTCTTCAAGGGAACAGGAACTGGACCCAAAGTGTGTTCCAAAGCAACACCCCATTCCTTCATAGTGTCCTCGTCCAGTTTGCCGGCTTTGTCCACGTCCCCTTGACTGGTGTCTGCAATGGCACTTGTTTTTGACTTGACCTTTGAACGTGATTTGCCTTTTGGAGGACCTGTGTTGTTCTTTCTGTTTCCATTTCCATTGCCTTTCCCATTGTTTTTTTTCACTGGTTTGTTCACTTTGCTTCCTTGCAATGCTCTCATCATAGCTTGTCTTGTAGTGTTGACAGACAATCCTAATCTTTCTTCTCCCTCACTGCCATCGGAAACACCTTCGTCTTGGACAGGAACTCTGGTGGCAATGCAGGGACGCATCAAGGATGCAACGTCCAATTTGATTGAATTCAAAGAAATAGCCTTGTAAGACCCAGTCTTGACACAGTACACATCAGGTGTCTGTGCAATGTTGAAAAGAAGAACTTGCAGGCGATGCAACACTGCACGCCCATTGTCTGTGGCCATCACTGCTTCTGATTCGCTGGCCATGGAAAACTGCAGCAGCGTCGAGTCAAAAGGATTGAAACTCATCCGGGTGAGCAAGAAGACATAAACAATTGTGAATCTACCCTCTCCAACTGCATCATGGTCCTGAGAGCAAATCAACATCAGAGGGTGCTGGGCCACGTACCCATCATGACGCCTGACATCCCTTGCAGTTCTCAAGATGTCAACCACTTCTGAAAACAAGGTGTCATACTTTGTTCTCAGTTCGCCAGCAACTTGTTCCTTGCAAATTCCAGGGCCAAAGGAGGTTTGACAGCACTTGTCTTCTTCCTCCGTTTCTTCATGCTCTTGAAATGATGCTGTCTGATCAGTATATTCAACGAACTGACCATGGGTTTCACGAAACTCTCTGTGGTTTTGATCTATCCAGTTGCCGTCACACTGTGACCGCACTTGGTCCAATGTAGCTTCTGAAATTGCAAAATGTTCGTCACAAAAGTCAGAAAAGGGCAGCTGAGACTGAGAAGTCTGCTGCTGGTGCACAAGCACTGCTTCATCTTGACGACCATGCTGCGCAAGAGCAGAATCTGACTGAGACCGTTTCAATTTGTTGGAGGCGATAGCTAGGGCTGACTTCTCCTGAAATCATCATGGGCACATCACATCTCATACTGAAACTACAATCTGGAATCTGGAGGTCCTAAGCAAAATCCCTGCATTCAAAAAGAAAAAGATTGGTGGTTGGCAGATTCTTCGTTGTTTAGGCAACATTGCGTTTTCGTTTGTTTAGGTAACCTGTCCTGTTTGTCGCAACCAACTTGCGTCTCCCATGCAAGACGTGCTGCTTCCCAGGCTCGCTTTCTCGCATCGTTTGGTGTTTCCCCAGGCAGAATCACCTGATGACTTTAGGACTGATACACCAAGACGTATCTATCAAAGCAGCTAGTAAGCTAGTAGGCACTGCGGATATAGATTGTCAAACCCTCATTCAAACGTGTCAAATGACTCGGTGCTTCATGTGTTCAGCCATGTGCAGGGTGAAACCGTTGTAGTTGCTGGCTTTGTCTGAGGGTCCTGGAGACATAAACACTGGGAATCTCAAGTGCTACCGGCCAAGTCCTATAGTGTATCACTCTAAATTATAGGCTATTGATCTTTGCCTATCTGTCTACCTATCTTTCTATCCATCTATGTATGCGTGTTCGTATGTATGTATGTATGTATGTATGTATGCATGCATGCATGCATGCATGCATGCATGCATGCATGTGCGTATGCGGGTATGTGACATGTGTGTATGTGTGTATGCGTGATTATGCTTGTTCGTTTGGCGGTCCGTCCGTCTGTCTAGATGGATGGATGTATTTGTGCCTGCTCCATGCATGCATTCATGTATGTATGTCTGTCTGCATGTGTGTATGTCCGTCTGTCTGTATGAATGTATGCATGACTCTAAGAATGTATGAATTTATGTATGTGCATGTATGTGCATGTATGTGCAATACAAAGATTTGAACTAGAGACACAACATTAAGAATGTAACAATACAACACAATCGAATCATATAAATAGTAAAAAATCAAAAACCGCAAGTAGCACAGAGCATAATATAAAAAGATTTACTGTAACTGGTATAGTATCTTGTTGCGTTTTGTATGTCAGTCGGTAGGTGTGTATTTACGACCCTGGCAAGTGAATTTCAAGTGTCGACTGCAATCGTTGGATGATTGATTGGTAGATATAAAAAAATACGTTTGCGTTTGTTCAGCCTGTGCATATGTAGTGGCAGTCCTTCATGTGCATTCTCGAAGTCAAAGTGGCTCAGACGTGCCTGCTGGTGCTCCTTTTGTAGT